CTGGTCCCTAAAGTTTGGGACATTGAGTAGGTCCCTTCCTCGTGGTGGGGGGGGGGTCGATTGACGTCCCCATCTTCAAAAAGGGCCCGCGCAATGACTGCGCCAATAATCCCAATAGCGTCAAAGCTGTTAGCGTTCATTTTTCTTCGTAGATTGTAAAAAACGCTTGAAGAACATGCTCGTGAGAAGCAGGCTGGGTTTTGTGCCGGTCGTGGGTGCATCGATCAATGTTCCACCTTCCGACAGCTGCTTGAGCACCGTCAAGCTTACCATAGACCAATGACCATTGTGTTCTTGGACATTTGTGCTGCCTTCAATTCTGTTACCAGGACCACACTATGGAGGTGTTTGTTGAGGAATGGAGTATCAGAGATGTGTGTCGATCCTCAAAAGGTTATATCGCCATGCCTCAGATCGGGTTAGGGCCCACGGCCAGCTTTCACCACCTTTCGCGGTCTTCAGTGAAGTTCGATAAGGCTGCCCTATATCCGCATTCCTTTTTAACTTCGCCATAGTGGATGTTCTGAAGGTCGCTTTATCCGGTTTCAAGTCAAGTCAAGTCAAGTAAAACTCTATGCACCCGATAGGATGAATTTTCAGCATTTTCGACATTTACAGTTACAGTGGGGAAAACGACAAGCAATGAAAAATTAGAAATGCACATTTCCTAAATGTAAAACAGACGATTTGAATAAAATCCTAATGTGACAGATGATTGTTCAAATCAGAAATAATATTTGCTCGATTGACCATGATACGGGCAAAATAAGGGATCATGTTGTTTTTGTGTGTGGTGGTGCGTGCACAAGGAATCCGAAATTCGGAACGCGTACTCGGAAGGAGACACCGATTTATTGAGATGAGGATGTATGCAGTGTCCTTCATTGGACAGGATATGGCTGATAAAGCGATCGCATGAACCAAAATGCTTGCTCACAATAAAGTCATCCAAAACTGTCTTTGAAATGCCGCTGCAACGAGAAATGAATTTAAGAGATCTGGAAAAAAGAATACAGACTTTCTCTTTCAGACCAGGAAAATACACGGGGGAATGGTACAACCACGGTAGAAGAACGCTTGCAGTCACAAATTTAAGAATTACGTTTAAGGGAACGCTGAGCTTTTTAAGCCTAAAAGCTTAGAGGGATAGTCTGCGAACCCGAATATAAATGTTTTCAACATGTTTGGGCCAAGAAAGGTTGTGACAAAGTGACTCCAAGATATTTCACAGAGTTAGCTTTGGGAATGGTGTTACTATTAACAGGAAGTTCAGACTCATTTCTTAAAAGGATTTGATTAGGCATACCTGTTTTAAGGCTATAAAAAAATGCACACATTTATCTACATTTAGCAATGACGATCGAGAAGTCGACCAACTAAAAAGGTTATTTAGACAAACTTGAAGTTGACAGAAACAATCAGGAGCAGTCAAGGGGCAGCCGACCATCACGTCATCAGCATACTTGCAGGCGATAAAGTTGGATGGGAAGGTCTTTAATATACAGTAAAAAAAAGAAATGGAGAAAAAATTGCACCATGAAAAACTCCAGAGTGAACTTCTAGCAGGCAGAAAGATTTATCGTTACAAAATGTGTATTGCGTCCGATGAGTGAAGTAATTAATTATTACATTCAGTAAATTAGGTGCCAGACCACAATCCCAAAGAGGTTGAATGAGAATGCCGCGGTCAGGTGATCCAAAAGCATCAGCATAATCAAGAAAAGTTAAACGGACGATGCCAGCCGCTTCATCCAATGAGGATGAAAAGGAGTGAACAACGTGAGAAACGGCATCAAGAGTGTAAAGTGAATGTTTGCAAGCAAACTGACTGGGTCATGGGTGACAGATAAAAGGGTCAGCTGGTTACGAAGGACTCTTTCGAAAACTTTCAATAATGCTGATGTGCAGGCAATCGATCGATATTTGGAAGATCTTTTTTCAGAATTGGGGTTATCCGAGCAGCTCTCCAACAATCAGGGATGCTTCAAGATGACATACAAAAATTGAACAACTCGGAAATAGGTGAAGTATGTTGTTCAGCACACTCTTTCAGTAGGTAGGGGGACAACGAATCAGGGTCATGAGTCTTGTTAGATTTAAGGAACTTGAGTACATTCAGGACTTCCACGGGGATGACAGATTGGTTCTCCCCAGTAGATGTAAATAAAGATGGTGTTGAGTTCCTTACAGTAGCATTTGCAGATTGGCGGTTTGACTCCTCAACATTCGGAAAAGATCTGTTNNNNGAGCTGCTTCAAAGCAGATCACATATCGCGGCAGCTCTGGTTTCTCATAAGAGTTTCGATATATATCCTATTTAAGCGCTGTGTTTCCATTTTGATCAATAATGATAGTTGTTTGATAACATTGCGCCTTCCAGTCCTGTAAGCCTTTTCTTTATCACTACGAAACCGTTTTAGAAGAGGCAAAGAGAATCCGTCAGTTCGAATATATAAGGTCTCATTTAGAAGACACAGATCATAGTTAAAATCAAGATAACCTGTAAGATGCTCACAACTGGAAGAGTTTTCAGCGTT